GTCGATTTTTGGCGGCTATGCAGTATCGAGTATTTTTTTTCACAAAGTTGTTTTGGAGTCATGTCATGAAGTCCCGATTTGTTTGTTTGTTTTTATAAATGACGTGGCCGTCTTAATTAGAATCCGGCTGAACGTCTCGTGCTCGCACCTAAAACACTTTGAGGTCTCGGTCTCATAGTTTAAAATGTCAAAATGTCTCGAGCTCGCCTTTTTGCAAAGTCTCGCATTTATCATTCACCACCCCGAACTGCAAATGCAAACCGAAATTATATTGATCTTTTTTTGGACGACTTCTAGGCAAGTATTGTACTGTGTGGGTTTTTTTTTATTTAAAGTAACAAGTCTTAACAAATTACACGTATCACAAATTACAAAAATTACAATAACAAAGTACTCTGGTATGGCTACTCCGATACTACAATGTACATTACTTATTTACATCAGGTGTTACTTACTTACATTAGGAAAACGGTACTGTGTGGGTTTTGCTGATCATCTTGGTAAACGTTGAACTGCTGAAAGTTAGAAGCAGCTGCATCTGTGTTATTAAGTGATCAATTGAGGTCCACTCTCGTCTGTAGAGGATCGGGATTCGGACGGCTGGAAATGAGGATGAGTTAATCCAGTGGAAGAAAAATGCGGTAAAATGCTAAGTTAGCCTTTAGAACTCCCTACATATCGCTGTTAACCCTTCATAAACCTGGATACGGAAAGGCACTCTGTAAGAAAAGTGTTTTGCCCAACAACATTTCAAAGTAATCCCGGCCGCTCGTCACTCAGCGCGGTATACCATTAATGTAGGTAACTACAAAACTATATAGGAAAGAAGAGAAAGAAATTAAACAGATAACTGAGGCAGCAAGGCTCGACGATATCGTTTTCAAATCCAGCGTCGTAAAATGGGTGGAGATTCATCTTAGTACAGCAAAAGACATGTTTGATATTTTCTCGTTACCTGTTTTTGTCTTCCGTTCCAGTTCTTTCTTAGATCAGAGCTCACCAGCGC